GAAGTGTTCCCAGGTCCTTTATTTCGAACTCCTTTCCAAGTGCCTGTTTTAGTCTCTCTATTTCTTCATGATGGTCACCTGTGACAATAATATCATCGACATAAACAATGAGGATGGTGATCTTACCTTGAGAGTGCCTATAGAACATTGTATGGTCAGTTTGAGCTTGGGTATATCCTTGTTTACAAACAGCCTTTGAAAATCGCCCGAACCATGCACTTGGGGATTGTTTTAAACCTAGAGAGATTTCTTCAGCTCACACACCTTTCCATCATACTTATCAATGTCAAATCCAGGAGGAAGGTCCATGTACACCTCTTCTTCCAAATCTCCATTGAGGAATGCATTCTTGACATCCAGTTGTTGTAGTTTCCAATCCAGATTTGCAGCAAGAGACAAGAGGACACGGATTGTGTTTAATTTTGCAACGGGTGCAAATKTCTCCTGATAGTCTACCCCAAAAGTCTGAGAGTATCCTTTGGCCACCAATCTTGCTTTATACCTTTCAATGGACYCATCARCCTTATATTTGACAGTAAAGATCCATCGGCATCCTACCRTTGGTTTATCTTGAGGACGATCAACTACTRTCCACGTATCATTAAGCTTCAAAGCCTTCATTTCATCATCTACCGCATTTTTCCACTGTGGATTGCTCATAGCCTCTKGAATGGATTTTGGTACCTCATTGGCTTCCAGATTGAGARCCAAGGTCTGAACTGCTGAAGATAAATGACTATAACCAATACATCGAGCAATTGGATGTTGAGTACACAATCTCACACCCTTCCTAAGTGCAATAGGAAGATCAAGATCATTAGTATTGTCTTGAGGCACAAGGGTAGATTGTTCAGTACCTAAGGAMGAGATGGATTCATGACTTTRTTGTTGAGGCTGYGGTGGCTCCACTCCTCTTTGAACCGTTTGTCGCCGACAATAAACAAGAGTCTCAGGTTTCTTGTCACTTCGATTTGGGTTGACTTGATCATCTTCATTATTACAGGAAATAATAGGAACTGACTCTTCTATCTGAGTAATTGGGACRATCGGGATAGGTATTTTTGGCTGAGGTGACTCGGTATTTAGACCATCAATCTCAAGTATTTTTGACTGAGGGGACTCAATTCTGGTATTTAGATCGTCAATCTCCCAAAAATTTCCATCAAGACTACTTGTAATAGGCTCAGTCTCCCCCTGAGGGGAATTTAGGGAGAAAAAAGATTGAGACTCAAAAAATGTGACATCCATGGTAGTGTAAAATTTATTGGTGAATGGACAATAGCATTTATAGCCTTTTTGAGTAGGAGAGTAACCAAGGAAGACACACTTTCTGGCTTTTGGYTCCAATTTGTGACGTTCATGATCATAAAMATGAGTGAATGCAGTACATCCAAATATTTTGAGRGGAATTGTGAGGACAGATCGGATTTGCGGATAAATAGTGAGTAAGATTTCTAGTGGAGTGTAAAATTTCAGAACACGAGAGGGCATCCGATTAATGAGATAACAAGCAGTAAGGACAGCATCACCCCAAAAACAGTTAGGAACAGAATTGGTGAACATGAGAGCACGAGCAGTTTCTAAAAGATGCCTATTTTTCCTTTCAGCTATACCATTTTGTTGGGGGGTAATGACACAGGAACTTTGGTGAATGATTCCATTTTGAGACAGGAAAGTTCCCAATATTTGATTAAAATATTCTGTCCCCTTATCTGTGCGAAGAATTTTGATTCTCGTATTAAATTAATTATGAATGAAAGAATGAAACTGTTGAAAGATTGATGCAGTTTCTGATTTTTCTTTAAGTAAATAGACCCAACAAACCCTAGTGTGGTCATCAGTGAAGGTAAGGAACCAACGTTTACCGGACATAGTTTTGATGCGAGACGGCCCCCATAAATCACTATGAATCATTGTGAATGGACTGGATGGTATATACTCAACAGAAGGATAAGATGTACGAGAGTGTTTTGCAAGTTGACACACTTCGCAAGTAAAAATATCATCTTTATGAAAAAGTGAAGGGTACAAATGTTTAAGATACTGAAAACTCGGGTGCCCTAAACGGCGATGTAAAAGTAGAATTTGTTGTTCCCTAAAATTCGACACACTACCAACCTGGAGAACTTGTTTATTTCTTAGACTTGGTCCTYTGAAGTAGTAGAGCCCTTCAAAGCCATCAGCATTGCCAATCGTCGTTCCCGTTATCAAGTCCTGAAACAAACACTTAGAGTCAGTGAACRGGGCTTGACACTTTAAATCATGAGTCAACTTCTGAACAGAAATTAGATTGCAACATAATTTAGGCACATGGAGCACTGAATGCAATGTAATGTTTGGGCTAAATATAACAGAACCAAAGCCCTTAATAATGGCCGATGACCCATCTGCAAGCTTGAC